ATAATAATAGGCTACATAATCAAATTCACAAATATTACACCATTTAAAAATTATTCAAATACAGAGGCTACTGCGTTACTAAAACAATCTTCGTCAGAGAACACACTCGTTTGTTCACCGTTTGAATGTTCTTGTTTCCATTTGTTTACCCAGACAGCAAACTGACATTGAATCAATGTGGAAACGACGTCTCTCGTGACATCGAAACAACATTGATCTGGCATTGTTTTGCTCATCGAATTAACGTTGAACCAACGTCAGACGCGGCATTCTTCAAAGCTAAATGAAAATCGAAAATTGGTTTGCTTTCATAACGTAGAAACAACGTTGATTTCAAGTTGATTTTCCGTTAGTTTTGAAAGAATGACGCGTCTGACGTTGGTTCAACGTTAATTCGATGAGCAAAACAATGTCAGATCAACGTTGATTCGATGTCAGTTTGCTATCTGGGTAAGATCTGAAGTGAATTCTTCATTGTTCTTTAACAGAGGCAAAGCTGGAGCACAAACTCACATGACACGCATTTAACGCTAAATAAAGCACATAAACAGCGCCTGAGATTAGCATAGCAAAAACTCTGATTAACTAGGAAAAGACGCCTATATGTCTCATATGAAACGTTATTCACGTCATACGGGCCACGGTTATCATGCGTGTGGTGCTTTAATGTCCCAGTCTGACCTCTCAATGCAAAGTTCACGTAGTGTAACAGCGCAGCGCTCCTGGTTGTACGTCACACAATAAAGTCCCTATTTTTGTTTGTTTGTTTTTTTTGCGCATAAAATGTATTCTCGTCGCTTGATAAACTTAAAGGGTTAGTTCACCCAAAATGTAAACTCTGTCAGTATTTACTCTCCCTCGTGTTGTTCAACCCCGTAAGACTTTCGTTCATCTTCGCAACACAAATTAAGATATTAGAGATTAAATCTGAGAGCTGGATCACTCCTCCTGTGGCATCAAAACTGGCCGGCCCAGAAAGTTATTAAAGACATCGTTAAAATAGTCCGAGTGACGACAACGGCTCAATCCTAAGTTCATCAAGCGATGAGAATAGTTTCTGTGCGCAAACAAACAAACAAAAATAACGACTTTATTCAACTATTAATTTCGTCTCTCTAGGCTCACCATTGGCCGGCGCTGGTGATGTGTGTGTGATGCGTGTGACGTACAACGCTCTGGATTGCTCTCTTCACATCCTGATAACAATCACTAAATTAAGTGCTTTAACGGTATTTTTGTTTTATATATATATATATATATATATATATATATATATGAAGAGTTCAGATGCAAAAGCCTCTAAATGCCATTTGAAATTTTCTTCTTTAATGATGATTTTTATCAAGCTTGTATATTTAAGTTCAGTAATTTCACTTAAATAACAATTAATAGGTAATTATCATTGCCATTCAAGTGAAATCACTGAACTTAAATATACAAGTTTGATAAAAATGATCATTCTAGAAGAAAATTTCAAATGGCATTTAGAGGCTTTTGCATCTGAACTCTTCATATATATATATATCTTCAGTGGAAGGCGTACGACCATAAAATCGAATCACTCTAGAATCCTCTAATCACTGCATTCGGTCCGAATTATGATGCGTTCACGTCTTAACTTCTGTAATCTGGAAGAGATGGAAACCAGTGATGTTTCCTACAGTTAATGACCTAAACTACCCTTAATTATACATACGGACAAGAGCAATTAAAAAACCTCAGAAACACACACACACACACAGTTGTAAAGATATTCCTTCACTAAATGAGTTGTCATCTTTCTCTTATATAGCCGTGTAGCGCTGTAATTACTCTGAGCTTTCAGAGAGCTTTAAATGAAACGCTCGAGAAATATAGAGGTATTATTATGAGAACATAAAGGCCTTATTATTCCATGCTCTCTTGAATAAAGCGTCCATGTGTGGTTTGTAAAGCGCATGTGTGTGTGATCGTGCTGCTGACCCGCTAATCCTGCACACACTACTAGGTGACCATCTGACATCAAACCTGTTTCTGTGACGTTATTACTGGCGTGTAAAGGTGATCAGAGGTCAGAGGTCGACTCACATCATCAAGTCAATTTATTTCTACTGCACTTTATACAGGACAGATTATTTCAAAGCAGCTTCACAGTGATAAACTGGACAATAACAGAAGCACAATCAGTTCTGCTGTGAAATATAATCAGAGTTTCAAGGGAAAACTTGCAGTTACTTTCACTTTTTATTCCATGGCAGACTTCAAAAGAGAGATCCAAATTAATTGGATCCCTTTCAGATCTTCTGTATGTCTAAATACCACAAAAAGTTGTCGTCTCAATTGTGCAAAAAAAATAAGATATCATTATTAAAATGTCATTGCAGGCCCATCATAGCACAGAAACTGTCCTTGTTAAAATTACAAAAGACGCAGGCCGTCTCTCAATACTAGCTTTACTTGCTGCGTTCGACACTATAGATCATAAAATAGACACGCTCATGTCACAATTCCATACATACCACACATGAGGTACACGATACAATATTATTGCGATACTCCAAGACTTGATAAAAGATTAACAAAAATATACTGTTATTAAAATGCTTTGGTGTTAGATTGTTTGTGTAAGTGAACAGGCTTTTGGACTCCAAAAGACAATAAAGACGCCAAAATAACAATATTCATGATTCTGAAGATGAAAAAAAGCTTATTTTAGATGAATATGCACTGACTAAATATGTATAAAATAATGTAGGACACTTTTACACAAATATCCACCATTGCATTATCATATATTATATTCAACATACTGTAGTACTGACAGTAAAACTCTTTTGTTCTCACACAGAAATTTTTATCCTGGGTGAACTACACACAAAACACATTGATGCATTTTTATTGTGCGATATATTGTTACACCCCTATAAAATACTCTGAGATCGACTACAAAAGTACACTGGTATTCAGGGACTGAAATTAAGCTGATTTAGATCCAATCAAACTTTTACAATTTGGTCTTTAAACGGGGAAAAATCTAAGATAATATCAGTAAATTATGGAGTGCAGCAAAGCTCTGTTTTAGGCCCGTTGCTGTTTGCTGCCACTTAATAATATTATTATAAAAACACGGAATTAGTTTCCACTGTTATATAAAGCTATAAAAAAAATGTGAACTGAATGGATATAAGCTTCCATACATCACATCTCTCTCTCTCTCTCTCTCTCTCTCTCAGAAGAGCAAGCTTGCGTGTGTCAATGATTCAGAGAAGAAACAAATCCCGCTACAGATTACAGCTGTTTTAGGCCCTCTGCTATTTGCTTGCACTTAATAATATTATTATACAAACATGGAATTAGTATCCGCTGTAATATAGGCATCAGTTAATCGGCCTCCCGCCAGCTCTCTTACCCTCGTCTAAATGCACAGCGGGAACTTCTCTCTGGAAAAACAACCATGGTCGAGTCTGGACGGCTTATTAGAGGCACTTCAAGCGCAGAACACAACAATCAATGGCTTTTTGGTGCAGTTTACTATGTCAAGCATCAAAAGCTCAACACTAATTATTAAATCTCAGAGTAACTTGTCTTGTTTGTGCGCCAGACTAGACATGAATGATACTGGAAACACACACACAAACACAGTATGTTCAGTTTGTAATAGTAAATGACGTGAATGGCATAGCACAAGGCTCAGTACTTGGACCGTTACTGTTCACTCTGTACATGCTACACACACACACACTGTACATGTTATTGTTACCCTTAGGAGATATCATTAGAAGGAATGGAATATTCAGCTGTACATTTCTTCAAAACCTAAAGTTACCAATCCACAAAATTAACGGAATGCATAGCTGATGTAAAAAAAAAAAAAAATGGATTTTTTTCCCCAGTTTTTAATTTCCTGCTTTAATTCTGAAAAAAAAAAACAGAGATTCTAATTATTGGACAAAAAATAATTAATTATAGTTCTAATAATTATTGGATTATTATAATGCGATTAT